ATCATACAGAGTAGTTTCACTGCCCTAAAAAAATTATCTGTGTTCTACCTATTCATCCCTCCCTCCTTCCACCAACCCCTGGCAACCACTGATCTTTTGACTGTCTCCTGAGTTTTGCCTTTCCCAGAATGTCATATAGTTGGAATCACACAGTATGTAGCCTTTTCAGATTGGCTTCTTTCACTTAGTAATATGTCTTTAAGATTCTTCTGTGTCTTTTCACGGTTTGATAGTGCATTTCTTTTTAGCACTGAGTAATACTCCATTGTCTGGATGTACCAGTTTATCCATTCACCTACTAAAGCACAACTTGGTTGCTTCTAAGTTTTGGCAATATGAATAAGGTTGCTCTAAACATCTGTGTGCAGGTTTTTGTGTGAACACTAGTTTTCAAGTCATTTGCGTATAAATACCAAGGAGTGAGATTGTTGGATTGTACGGTAACAGTTTAGTTGTATGAGAAACTGCCAAACTTTCCTCCAAAGTGTCTGTACCATTTTGCATTGTCACCAGCAATAAATGAGAGTTTTTGTTGCTCCACATTCTTACCAGCATTTGGTGTTATCAGTATTCTGGATTTTTACTGTTCTAAAAGATGTGTAGTGGGATCTCATTGTTCTTTTAATTTGCAATTCCCTAATGACATATGATGTGGATGACATATGCTGATTTGCCATCTGTATATCTTCTTTGGTAAAGTGTCTGTTCAGGTCTTCAGCCCATTTTTTAATTGGTTTATTCATTTTCTTATTGTTTTAAGAATTATTTGTATATTTTGGATAACAGTTCTTTATCGGATTTGTCTTTTGCAAATATTTTCTCCCAGACTGTGGCTTGTCTTCTCATCCTCCTGACAGTGTCTTCCACAGAGCCTATGCTTTCTCTCTTTCACAGAGCCTACGTTTTTAGTTTTAATGAGGTCCAGCTTATCAATTATTTCTTTCATGGATCACAAAAGTCATTGCCAAGCCAAAGCTCATTTAGACTTTCTCCTATGTTATCTCTAGGAATTTTATAGTTTCACATTTTACATTTAGGTATATGATTTATTTTAAGTTAATTCTTGTGAAGTACGTAAGGTCCATGTCTAGATTCACTTTTTTTCCCCATGTGTTGATGCCCAGTTGTTCCAGCACCATTTGTTGAAAAGCCCTGTCTTTTTCTCCAAAATATTGCCTTTGCTCCTTTGTCAAAAATCAATAGACTCAGAAATAAGGATGGTCTTTAAAAAAAAAAAGAAAAAAATCAATAGATTATATTTATGTGGGTCTATTTCTAGACTGTCTATTCTGTTCAATTGACCCATTTGTCTATTCTTTAACCAATACCACACTGTCGTGATTACTGTATTTTCTTCTTATCAGGACGATTTGCAAATAGCATCTGGTCCCATAAAGCCTTGATGGCTTTGTGGGAATTGGGCAGTCCTTCTTCTATGTCTTCTAAAAGAATCCCTCCTAATCCTCGCTGGTCATGCTTATCTAAGAGCCTAAGTAGGGCCTTCTTATCTTTCAAGTTGTACTTGGGCTTGAAAAGCATACTTCCCAGCTATTATTAAATACTTCAATTTTCAGATTGTTGACTAATGCCGCAGTCATTAGCCATCGTTGCCATTGTTTCTGCTTGAGCCCAATATCTAAATATTGTGTTTCATCCAAAATTTCTTCTAACGTTAGAGGATATGAATCTCCTGGCTGATGTGCCTGCGTGTAATTCACAATCTCAGCAAGAACCACAAACTTATATCCAAAGCTTCCTGATAGAGCTTTCAAGTTAAAAGATCCATTGTTCTGATCAGAATTTTTTTTAGCGCCTGATGATCCTCTATGTTCTACCTTTGCTTTCTTCTTGGATGATGATGATGATGATGGCGACTCAGAAGATATTGCACGTTTTTCTACTACAGCAGTGGAAAGAGCTCATTTTTTGAACAGCTCCCTCTCTCTCAGCAGGCTTGTGTCCACCACGCTGAGCTAGGAGGGCAGCCCCTCGCCACCCCCCGCGCCGCCGCCTCGGGTGCCTCCGTTCTGCCAGCCGCCCACGCCGGCGCGTCCGCAGCTTCCTGCTTGTCGCCAGCGCCCCCGGCCGCCCGCGCTCACCCAGCGCTGACCCGCCCGCTCGCAGTCTCGCCACTGAAGCTGGCGGCGGCCGCTGAGGACGTGTCTCGGCCCGGGGCTCCCAGGATAGAAGTATATTTCTTGCTCATGAAATAGTAAGGAAGCAGGTGGTCCACGGCTGTAACAGAGCTCCTGCTCCTCAAGGCTGTCCAGGGGCCCAGAGCCCTCCGATCTTGTTTCACCATATGTAGGGGTTGTCCTCATCCGCAGAGTCCAAGTGGCTCAACTCCTGGCCTGCATTCCAGGAGGGCAAGGGGAAGGCATGCTCATTCCCTAAAGTACACTACCAAAGCTGAACATACCATCTCCGCGCCCTCTCATAGGTCATAACTTAGTCACATGGTCACAGTTAGTTGCAAAAGAAGCTGGACAATATAGTTTTTAGCTGAGTACCCATGTTCCCAGCTTAAAAGTCTGCTACCACATAAAAACAGAAAAATGGGGCTAACTCACAATCTCTGCCATACACTGGGTCAGGCATACACCTCTGGTCTTCTCAGCTATGGCCAGAGAGTATAGGATCATGGAGTTTAGAGAGATTCCCTGGAGAGGATATTTGTTGGATGCCTCCCCATCATTCATTCCATCCTTCCTCCTTCCTAACAGTGCCCCTAATTTCCCATCCTGATGGTTTAGGAGAAACTGACAACTCCTCCTGTTCTAGAGTAGTCCCTGAGTGACTTAAGTCAATTAGCAAGTTCTACTTCCTGGCCACAGTGAGTTGGGTAAGGAACAGGCACAGAATCCAATCCAAGCCAAGGAGAAGCTTTCTGGGGTATGTAGGAAAGAAGCTTCTCTCCTCAGGGAAAGCTATGAGAAAAGATTCTCTTCCTCCTGATGGTATAGTGTAAAGACATGAGGTCTGGAACTGCTGCACCTAATACCACTATCAGGAGATGGGTCCAGCTTAAGGAGGAAGCCAAAACCAAAAAGAAATAGAGAGAATGGTAGACAAACAATACAAGAACAGTGATGACATCTTTAACTTCAAGATCAAAAGTGGACACCCAGGCCTATCCATTGGGGATACTGCAAAAAAATTGGGTGAAATGTGGTCTGAACAGTCAGCCAAAGATAAATAACCGTATGAACAGAAGGCAGCTAAGCTAAAGGAGAAATATGAAAAGGATATTGCTGCATACCGTGCCAAGGGCAAAAGTGAAGCAGGAAAGAAGGGCCCTG